GACCCAAGGGCTTGGGCCTAGAAGAGCCAACAGCCGGCCCCCGCCCACTCTCACCCCCGCCAGCCTGCCCCACCTCCCGCCGGGGTTGCGGGGACTAATTTCAAGGTTAGCTCACGTGGGCGCGGGCGCCCGGAGCTCCTTGCACGAGTTTGGGGCGGGTTCCTCATCCCCCAATCTAGGGCAGTTTGTTCAACTGCAGTAAAGGGAGCTTGATGTTCCAGTAGGGAAGGGATTTCTGAGAACTGGGGCTGTCCTCGGATGAACTCGGCTCCCCCGGCTGCTGCTGCGGCGGCCGCCTGCGGAAGACTTTTTAAAAGGGCGATGCCAGGCCGGGGCGCTCAGCCCGCAAGTGGCTGCGCCGCCCGCCAGTCTGCTGCCGGAGCCGAGCGCCCGCCCCCGAGCGCGGGTGATGCACGGTGCGCCGCGCAGGGCCTCTCCGCGCGCGGGGGGCTGCTAGCTAAACTTATCCTCCTGCATATGCATGAACGTGTGGCCTTTCTGCTCGGCAAAGGAAAGGCCTGGAGTTTGCGGAAGGCTGCTAAGTGGAGCGAGAGCAAAGTAGGGCGTTGTGCAAGTTTGCGAGCGGGCCGGAGCCCCCCTCCCTCTCCAGACCCTGCGTGTTAACTGATGTTATGGTCGCGGGCGTTTTGGCAGATAGGTCTTTACCTGATTGTATTTCAAATCCAGAACTGCTGCCTTTGCTGGGAGCCCGGATCCCTTCGGCCCGCCTTCCCCTCCCCCAACTCACCACCACCTCCTAATTCCCAGCTTTCACTAAAATGAACGCTGGTTTGCCCCAGGTAAATGCTGTGTGCCTAGGTGGAACGGCTGAAGCCAAAGGGCCTGGGTCCTGAAAGAAGTCTGGATCTAGCCCAGAGTGAGGTCCGACATGTGATCCCCTACCCCCAGCGGGCCATCTGTTCTCCTTCCTTCCCGCCGGGAGGCTGGCAGCTCTGCCCAGCACCGTCCACGCCTCCCAGCAGGAAAGAGTGAGAAAAGCCAGAGTTGGCAGAACCCACTACGTACATGGTCCTGTTCTAACCTAAACCTCCCTGGGTCTTGGGCAAAGATGAGACTGGGCAATATGTATTTTAGATTAAGCCCCAGGTGATAAGCTCCACCAGAGAGTTGGGGAAACTCTGCCCAATTAGGATTAAAATCTCCAGGGAAGGGGACTGGGAATGGGCTGCATTCGTCCTGGAAATACCTCTGCTTGGGCTAGGCTAGGGTGGAAAATTTGCACAAGCTAGCTTGAAGAGAGAAAAAGCAAGACCATGAAATTAAGGAAGAAAAGATTTAAGGGATTCGGGACAAGTTTGTATTGTGCCTACTATCCCTTTAAATACTGATTTAAGACATTCTGACCTTCATTGCCATAAAGACCTGTCTGTACATGCATAACACATGAGATGGTGTCTAAAGAACCCAAGTCTTGGTCAGTACTTTTCCCTATGATTTTGGGGGGGGGGCGGGATCCGTAGAATATTTGGAATTTGTAAGAGACTATGGAGATGTATTCATCTAATGCCCTTAATTCACAGATAAGGAAATAACTCTAAGAGGTTGCCTAGGGTCATGCTGCTCATCTCCGGCCCAGGAGGCCCCTTCTCTACCCTAAGCTGGCCCAAACACCTGCTCAAAGAATCAGCTCAAGGTAGGCACTACCTCTTCTAGAGGTGATACTGATAATTATCTTAGGATGCACAGAAAATAAGACTTCTAGCTACAGGCCCATAAATGCTTGTTCTTGAGAACTGGGATAATAAAGCCAAGCCTTAGACAGAATTTAGAGAGGAAAACACATACTTATAAACGAGGAGCACAGTTAGAGTCTTTGAATTCCCATGCTCCTCCCAGTTGGTCTGTGTGGATTTGAAATGTGTATTTACAAAGACTAAATTGGGGGAAACCAGACGTCTCATATTTATGTGGCATAATGTAGACTTTACTGGTAAATTATTCATTGTAATTAGGAATGATTCATATTAATTTGGGATAATTTACTTTGCCAGAATTTAATTGGGACAACTACATGCTGGCAAAACAGTGTAAGCTGAGTTTAATCATAAAACTATTATAACACACATCCTAACAGAGCAAGGGAAGCTTGTTAAATTACACACACACACACACACACACACACACACACACAATCCTGATGTAGGAATTATTACTTGTGATATATGTTAGTTTGTGGTATATATAATTTGTTTTTAACATATAAGTCTCATCAAGGATAGACTGTCTTTTCATTTCTGTACTCGCCCATGCCTAGCTCCGTGACTGAAACTTAAGTATCTGGAGAAGGAATGAGTGGAAAAAGAGATAAAGGGGAAAGCATTCTATAATTCTAGAATTTCTGGGTTTAAAAAGCTATTCTAAATCAAGTCGAGCCGCAGATACATTTATAAATATGTGAGAGAAACTCGTGTGCATGAAATCTCGGTTTTCTTTTATTACTTTTCTTCTATAACTGTGAAATGAATGAGTTGGAAGAATTCAGGGTTTATGTCCAGTCCAAACAAAATTAAATTAAAGGTAATTAATAAAAGAAAAGAGGGCAAGAAGTAAGGGGGGGGGAGTTATATTTTGCAAAAAAAAACTATGATGATGGATTCATTCAAGTTCCTGAATTACAATGTCCAAGGAAAGATACAGACTTTCCTTCTTTTCTGGAATAACCCCAATGTTAATTAACTCTAGGGCAATCTGGGGGTGCTCAGTGCAATGCCTGTTGCCATGCAAGTTCAAGAGACTGTGCAGGCAGTGATCATAGAGACCCTGGAGCCATCCCATTGGGATTTGTGCTGGACTTTAAAGAAGCAAGCCAAGGTGCGACTTCTAGATGATCATGTATCCTTGGGGACAGAGTTTGTCCCAGAAAAATTATGAAGTAGGCAAACTCCCCTGGGCTTCAGTGAATTCTTTTCTAAAATTAAGGGGATTGGAATATAAGAACTCTAAGATGGCTTCACTTCTACTTTTTTTTTTTTTTTTTTTTGCCACTTTTACCATCACATACCACGACGTACCTACTTTACCATGATAGTGAGGGTGACTGCCACTTCCTTTCGGCTGCCATTTCCTTTCTACACTTCACTTTTCCATATAATCAACCTACTGCTATATCTTCTGGACCACGGCAAAAGCGAAGTCAAAAAAAGAAAAAAAACTATACTGGCCTTCAAACTGGGAGGGTTCATTTGGAACTCTTCCTTTCGAGACCAGGAAAGTAGTATAACTTTCCCAAACCTTAACCCAAGGCTAACAGCCAGTGGAGCCCATGGTTGAACCTCAGTGGATCTGTATCAGTGAGAGGCAGGTACCTCTCACACCCAATTAGGAAAATCGACGTATTTTTAAGCAATCGTGCTAACAGTTTGCCTCCTGCGATAGGCATTAACTTTAGATTCTTTTCTCAGCTATCATGATGGAAAACAACTCATCGTTCATTCAGAGGGAGAGGCAAACTGAGTTCATCGGACTCCAAGACCCATGCTAATCATTGATCAAGTAATGCCACAGTATTCAATAGCTAAGGATCTCTGGCTTGTTCCAGTTCTTAGGAATCTGTTTAGCACAGTTAATATTTCACAAAATCGAAGAGCTCGGTTGTTGTATAGCCCAAAGGGCTTGGAATCATTAGATTTATGATTTCAGTTGAGCTCTGTCACTATCTACCTGATAGATAGACAAGTCATGTCCCTGCATATCACTGCTTCTAAGGGGAAGAGAACCCCTGAAATTCACCCAGGGGTTGATCGAAGGAGAATGGTGTCTTTGAAAAAGTCATACAAATTTTTGCGTCCATTTAATTGAAGATGGGTTCCAGTAGCTTCAAAACAAAACTGAAATAACTTACCTAGAGTAGATTGCATTGGGAAGGAGAGGAATGAAAAGGCATCACAGAAGCAAAGATGGGGTGTTTCCAGGTAGGAATAGTGAGCCAGTAAAAAAGACTTTGGTTTAAGACTTTGGTTTTAAGATGAATTACTCATAGTCAATTTATGCACTAGATCGAATGATTATTAAAAATCTGCCCCCAAGTATGTTGCATCCCCGAACTGAAAAAAAAAAAATGAAATGATGCTTTCTCATTTGTATTTATTCTTGGGCAACTCGGCCTGACATATTTAGTTGTTTTTTTTTTTTTTTTAAAGTTTTGACTCGGCATTGCATTTGCTCATCAACCCTGCCCTCGTATACATATCTCACTTTTACTACCAGCCACCCAAAACACGGGGATGTGTCCAGTTTCACTACAGCTCTCGGCGTTTACAAGTGTGGAGCGCCTGCTTTCGGAACGCCCTCCTGATTGGCTGGGCCCATGTCAGTGACATCAACCAACTTACTTTTGATTGGAAGGCTGGTTGCTGGGACTCTAGCGTTTGCAGGAAGTCACTTAACTGTTTGCAAGCTGGAAAACCGCACCTGAAGTTTTCTTTTGTCACGAGAGCGAGCGCAAGTGCCTGGGGAAGGCGTGTCCCCCGGCTCCGCAGGCGGGACCGCGGGCCCGGAGGCCCCGGCGCAGCTCCCGGACCGAGAGGCGCTCCGGAGGAAGGGCAGCGGCTCCCTTCCAGCCTCCCGGCTGTTACCCTTTTAAATGTCAGCGTTCGAGGCTGTCGGGGTAGCACGAGGCAGCGAAACGGAACAGTCGGATTGGCCGCACGCCTCGGTTCTAGACGCACCTCTCCACCGAAAGGCCGTTCTGACTGGCAGGGGGAGAAAGTAAACAGAGTTGAATCACCCTCCCCACTGGCCAATTGGAGGGGGTTTGGATTGTGACGTGATGGGATTCTGCGAAATTGTTACTGAGCGAGAGAATGCCGGAACGGTGCGGACCGGCCAGAGCAGGGGCTCAGAAGGCGTCCGCCGACGGGGGGAAAAGTGTCTCTTAGACGCGGCGCTCCGTCCGCCCCTCGCCACCCGCGTCGGGGTGGTCGGGTGAATGTCCTGGGGCTTTGGCTGGACGGAGAGGCGGCGGAGGGCGTGGACCGCGCTTGCAGTTTCCTCTCCCAGCGCCTCGGGGGCGTTTTCCAGCGAATAAACTTGCGGCCGCCACGTGTGGCATCTTTCCAAGGGAGCCGGCTCGGAGCGGCCGGTGCGCCCGTCGAGGGGATCACGCCGGGCGCGGGGCGCGGGCGGCGGCGAGCGGCGGCGGCGGCAGCAGCAGCGCGGCGGAGCCCGGGGCCGTGGATGCTGCGTGCGGAGGCGCTGCCGGTTACGTAAAGATGAGGGGCTGAGGTCGCCTCGCGCTCCTGCGAGTCGGAAGCGCCCCGCGCCCCCGCCCCCTTGGCCGCCGCGCCGCGCCGCGCTCGTCGTCCGAGGCCAGGGCAGGGCAAGCCGAACCTCCGCAGCCACCGCCAAGTTCGGCCGCGCCGCCGGGGCTGCTGTCGCCCGCACCATGTCCGCGGCCGCCTACATGGACTTCGTGGCTGCCCAGTGTCTGGTTTCTATTTCGAACCGCGCTGCGGTGCCGGAGCATGGGGGCGCTCCGGACGCCGAGCGACTGCGACTACCTGAGCGCGAGGTGACCAAGGAGCACGGCGACCCGGGGGACACCTGGAAGGATTACTGCACGCTGGTCACCATCGCCAAGAGCTTGTTGGACCTGAACAAGTACCGACCCATCCAGACCCCCTCGGTGTGCAGCGACAGTCTGGAGAGTCCGGATGAGGATATGGGATCCGACAGCGACGTGACCACCGAATCTGGGTCGAGTCCTTCTCACAGCCCGGAGGAGAGACAGGATCCTGGCAGCGCGCCCAGCCCGCTCTCCCTCCTCCACCCTGGAGTGGCTGCGAAGGGGAAACACGCCTCCGAAAAGAGGCACAAGTGCCCCTACAGTGGCTGTGGGAAAGTCTATGGAAAATCCTCCCATCTCAAAGCCCATTACAGAGTGCATACAGGTTAGCGGCGTCTCCCTCTCCCACCGAGCTCTGGGGTTAGTTAACCTTTGGCCGGGCAGTCCTTCCGGGCGTTAAGGACACCACGCTTGGCCTCAAGGGTGCCCACATTTTGGATAAGATGCTGTTTAACTCTTTAAAGGTTGGAGCCGCGTAGAGACGGAAAAGCTCCCTCTCTCCGTAATCGTCTCCAGTCTCTAGAAGCCATGGAGAGCCTTAACCTGGCGGGCAGAGAGAGTGCGGAGTGCCAGCCCCTGTGCGTGGCTTGGAGGGGAGTGGTGCCGCCCCTCCCGGCCCGCCCCGCCCCCAGGACTCCCGCACCCCGCGGCCGACCGTGGGGCCACCCCACCTGGGCAGGCGCTGGCACTGGGGAGGTCAAATGGCGTATCTTTTATTTGATTCTCTTGAGGGATTGCAGCGAAATGCCCAGAACCTGGGGAGAAGCGGCACGCTTTACGTGGAACCTTTTAGGGATGACTAAGGCCTCATTTAGCTGTATGCTTGCCACTTTTCAGGGCTTGCCGAGGTGGTTTTAAATTTGGCCAAGAGTCCCCAGGGAGGTTTAAAATAACACAGCTTCAGGCGGCAGAGGAGTTTGATCAAGTGATGGCTGGTGGGTTAACTTCAGGACTAGTTAGCCTTTTTAATGATAGCCTTTTTAATGAGAATCCGTAGCTGATTCCCACCCCACCCCACCCCACCCCACGATTCGTGGCACCCTCTCTACCCTGAATAGTTAGGGGGCAGGTGTGGTCCTTGCCTGAGGTCAAGGCTCGGTAGGGAACGTGGGCCTGGAGACCTCCTGGAAGGCTCTCTCCCCAGAGAGACTGAAAAGGCAGGGGCCTGGCTGAAGGAATGTGGCCAGGAAGACATATGCAGTATAAAACGGGCTTTGGAGGCGTACAGAGACCTTGGTCAGCCAATTTTGCTGATTCTGTTTAACATAACTCAGAAAAAGTTGGAAAGGGTTGGGCCGTGCTATCTCACCATCTTTAGTAACGTTCTTCTGCTGATGCTATTCTGATAAGGAAGCACAGGACTTGATCTTTTCTTGGATCCTCTGTTCCTTCGACCCTCTGACGCGATCTCGAAGAGGCTGTTGGAGTTACTTAGCCAAGTATTGTCATCTGGGGCTGTCATTGTTGGTACTTTTAAGACGAGGCCCTGGGCCTGTGGTTTTAAAATGATCATGGGTTGGGTTGGTTTGGTTTGGTTTTGCTTTTGAAAAGCAAGGCCACGTAACTGCATTTCGGATTTTATTTCCTTTGGACGGTGCTTCTTGTCGAGGTGGCTGCTGGCACGGGCGTGCAACAGAGTTTCCTGCGTGGTTAATGCCCCAAGAGGTTGTTTGGGGTTGTCACCCAAAGCTGCCCTCAAACAGCAGACTTGGAAGTTTGTATGTGTAAGGCTGTCGGAAGGCAGATGTACGCCCGGATTGGGGGATGTGACCTTTAGCGTGACTCCCCTGGGGTGAGGCAGGGGTATATTAACTGGAGGGTGTTACTCACCAGCAGCTGTTGGGCGGGCCTGGCCTTGCCAGCCATGTTCCCGGAGTTCCGTGGCTCACACTGACACCCACTGCCACCTTGAGCAAAGGCACGCTCTCCTTCAGGGAGCTGCCCGGTCGGGAGGCTGGGCTGGGGAGGCCTTGCAGGGTCTCTGTGGCAGCTACCTGAGCCTTTCTGTCTTAGAAAAAAAGATTCCTGGAGTTCTGAACCATTCAGCTGAGTGATTTTTTTCTCGGGCATTTACAGAAATGGCTGCTTATGTGTGCGTGCATTCGTGCTGATCTCTAATTCTCCATAAGGCAAGGCAGCTCAGCTGTTCCAGGAGAACCTTTTACACAGTCAGGAGTGGAAGACCGAGTGAAATGTTAATCCCATTCTAAATGCTGCAGTCGGTCTCTTGAAACTAGGGATAGGATGAGAGCAGGTGTCTTGTTTAGGTTTGGGGACTCTGGAACACCAGGACAAGGTTGAACAAAAACCTCAGCGTCTGTAAATATGGTGGGAAGCACCCTCCTACTGAAGAAGGTGTGTGTCAAGGATCCTCTTTAAATAAGAGACTTACAGGTCGTGCGTTTGGAAGTTGCAGTTTCAGCTTCAAGTTAGATTGCGTTGGGGTGGGGGGAAATGAGGTAATGTTGTTGTTGTTATTGTTTTGCTTCTTGCTGGTATTAAATCCAGAAGGTGGACCTGAGCTAGCCCTTGGAACATCTGCATTTGGTGAAGATTTTAACAGCTAAAATTCCAGCCACACCCCCCTGCTCAGTGTGGCCCAATGAGAGTCCTTCCTGCTGCGTGATCGCCTCCTAGAGCCTCCTACCTCCTACAGCTCCCACTTCCATGGACCCAGTGGCCTGAGAAGTTGAGTCATTTAAACAAAATTGCCTTTAAGCCAGTGCAGCCACTGCTGTCCTGTCCTAAGAGAGAAGGACGATTTTGAGTTCGGTTCTCCTCTGTCGTCTTGTTTCCCAGATGGGGGAAACTTCAGCGAGTTCCTTCAATTCCAAGCTGGCAAACTAGAGGCCTGCTGCTGGGTTTGCTTCGCAAATCCGTTTGGCTTGGCCAACACAGAGTTAATAGAAAAATGGAATTAGTCACCAGCATCTGAAAATCAGAAGATTCGGCCCAAATCCAGAGTTTTGGCTTTTCTGTAAAAATCAATCAGTTGGGCAGTACAGGGCCTGAATCCCTATCCAGCAACAATTGGCTTGAACTGATCATTTTTTGCAGGGCAGTGTCCTTTATTTTAGTCATTTGCATCATCCCTGCTGGCATGTAAGTTTACTACCCCTCTTTGAACCTCAGTTTCTTAATCCACTGGATAGGCTGTTACCACTGGTCTCCTCATAGGCTCTTGTGCAAAGATTAAATAACGTAGACAAAGCACCTAGCATAGGGTGCCACAAACAGAAAACCTCAAGAAACCCTGGATCTTAGAGTTTGTGTGTAATAGAGAGGGATTCCTCCAGATCAGGAACCAGGATGAACTTTTTTGTAAGTAGTACGTCAGTTTACATTTTATAATACTGTGCTCAGTTTGCTTTCCTTCAGCCCCTGGGTCAGATACTCTTTTCCAGGAATGCACTTCTAACCTTTAAGCAGCAGATCCATGGTTTAATTTGAAAAATGCCACAAATACATTCCTTCTCATTTCCAGACTTTTGGGACACTTTCGAGGGTATTTTTGGTAAGGTTACAGCTTAACAATTAGACCCATTAGAGTGCTTTGCCTGATAACACATGGAGCATATATATATATATATATTTTTTTTTTTTAATGCAAGTAATTTGAAGTTTATCCTGTCCACGGCCCCCCTGCAGACCCACACCCACGTCACTGCCATCACCTACACACACACACACACACACACACAGAAGTCCCCTCACAGCCCCCACATCCACACCCATACACTCCTCCCCCACCTCAGAGCATATACCCCAAATCGGCTCCACAAATACGCACTCACACCCCAGGCCTCTGCCACATCCCCGTCTCCTCCACCCATCATGAACACTAAAAAAAAAGAAAAAAGTTTATCCTGTTTCCTGACTTTGTGGTCACCTTGCATAGTTATATATATGGGGGTGGGTGGTAAGTCTGGGGGAAGGAAACGAGGACATCCAAATTCCAGATCGAAATCTTCCGAACCAGCTGGTGTAGACAAGGCTGACATCCCGGTGACAGAGACCTTAGGCTTTGCTCCCAGGCCGAGTGCCATTTTACTTTCTTTTCTGAAGGACTCGAGTCCGCTCTCCCCAAGTGGCGACACACGTTGAGCTTGAGGACACTGGGTATATCGTTCCAGTTCTACAGAAAATGTTTTAAAAACAACATTTTTTTTTTAATAGAGCAGAAGGACGTTTGTGTAAAATCGAGGAGACAGAGTTGCAAAACCCCCAAAAGAGCGATTGCTTCTGTTTCTCCCTCTCCTGTTTGCGTATGTCCCTGGGATACCTGAGAAAACCGGACAGAAGGGATCTGGAGGACCCTCGCCGTGGAAGGTCTCCTCCAACCCTGGAAACGGGTTTTCTGGGCTCTTTAGGAATGTCCGTTGAGCCACAAAGTTCTCTTAAAATTTTGCTAATCCAGGTGCCAGGCCTGGCTTGAGCCTCTTGTACTCGTCTCCTTTAATTATCAGAAAAAGCTTTAAAGTGAACCCTTTGGTTTAGGACAGCTTTGTCCCATCAGAGGTGTGAAGAAGGACCCATTCCATCACCCGGGAGGCAGGGGCTCAGGGACAGGGCAAGGTCTCTCTTTGGCTGCAGACCCCAGACTTGGGAGCCTCAGGGCACAAGTGTCCTCGGGGCAGGCTCTTCATTTGCCCGTGTCCAGTCTCTGCCACGTTCTCTGCTCTTCCGAGGCAGAAGGGAGGCCCTGCGTGTGGTCCCTGAGGAGACATTCTCTGCCCTGTTCTTCTCTCCATAGGGCTCCCCAAGTGATGTGGATTGTCGTATTTCATAACCTGACACGCTTCATCCAAAATAGATTTATAGCTTAGCCTGAGTGGGGCTTGCTTGCACAGGTAATTGTTTTTCTACCCCCCCACCCCCATTTTCTTTCCCCTAAGGAGACTTTAGACATTTTTTCCCTGTAATCGTCCTCCCCTCCCATGACATTTCAGTGCCACGGGAATACTGCAGGGCTGTTTGTGTCCTGAACTCCTTTAAAAGGCCACAAACCACTGTGATAGCTAAGACTTTCCTCACCTGCCAAAGATCTGATTTTTGCCCCCTTGGGGTCATATCCACCCCACTCCCCAGTGAGACTGTCTAGACACAACCTCATGCGTCTTGTCAGGAAAAAAAAAAATGACAATCTACATGCGAGAAGAAAGCAAATAGCAGCACACGGGCCGTAGCTCTAGAAGATGTGAGGTTTCTAAGGATCTCGAGGATGGACTCCTGAAGGGATTGCTTCTGGGTTTCAGACAAGAGGCTAAAACCCCCTCTATTCCCAGGAATCATGGCCCAGGTGGCCGCCGGAGCCCCAGCCCGCTG